CTTAGTAAACTGCATTTAAGATTCCTCTGTGTCTTTTCATGGCTTGATAGATCATTTCTTTTTAGTGCTGAATAATATATTGATAATAAAAGTCTGAAATGAAAAATAAGGAAGAAAAGGAAATTGATTGGAGTGAAAGCAACTATATTATGAAATGGTGAGAGTTGCTGCCTTACAGATTATCTAAGACGTGTTGACTGAGGATTTTTTTTTATATGTATAAATTTATTTATTTAGTTTTGGCTGCATTGGGTCTTAGTTGCGGCGAGTGGGGCTTCTCATCGTTGCAGTGCATGGGCTCTAAGCGCGCAGGCTTCAATAGTTATGGCACGCAGGCTCAGTAGTTGTGGTGCATGGGCTTAGTTGCTCCACAGCATCTGGGATCTTCCCAGACCAGGGATTGAACCTGTGTCTGCTGCATTGGCAGGCAGATTCTTATCCACTGCGCCACCAGGGAAGCCCGACTGAGGATTTTATTAAATGCTATTCTAAGATGATTTAACATGATCTGTTAGTAGAGAGCCACTGAGGTTTATTAAAAAGGGGGTGGAGTTCTGAAAACTTTCTAAGAAGGTGAATCTGGCAAGTTGGATTTCAGTAAGAGACTGGAAAGCTAGCCAGGAGACCACAGTGTTAAGGTGAAGGTGATAAAGATTTGAATTAGGGTGATGCTTATAGGAATAGAGGTAGAATAGCCATTGTGTTATGCAACAGAAGAATAATGAGTAAGACTTGGTGACAGATAAAGTATGGTTAAACAGAAAAGCATTAGAAATAAGCTCAAAGCTTTCATGTTTGAGGGCATATCCTCTATTGGGTAGGTACTGGGAATTCTGGAAGGACAGTTCTTGGTGATTAGATCTGTTATTTCTTCTCATGATGTATTTAGAATCCAAGAGGAATGATTGCTTGGGATTCTATATTCCAAATGGTACATCTAAAAATATAATTCTGACAAGCAAGAAACTGATAACAGTGGTTGTTTTTGGTGAGTGCACAGTTGAGACATAAAAATATGAGGATAACTTTTTATCTTCTAATCTTTTGAATTTTGAATCATATGCTTCTATTACCTATTCAGAAAATAAATAAAATTTAATTAAAGATTAAGATGCCTAAATCTTCCAGTTTACAGGGAGAAATTCTTATTTGACATTCTTTTATTATTTTAAGTACTTCAGACTACAGTTACTCAGAAAAGCAGTCAGTAGAAAGTAAACATGTTTAATACTTGGCTGCCTTTGATATACATATATTTGTAAGTGTGTATTTGATTATATGTTTGTGTATGTTGTATGTGCATGAGTGTGGCTGTGTGTGGCTCTGAGGTGTATGTGTACTTCATTCAGAAAAAATGTTTTTAGTTGAAGCCTCAGGGACCCTGTCTTCCTAGGGCTTTTAAATAGCTTTTTTTTTTTTTTCTTTGCGGTACGCAGGCCTCTCACCGCTGTGGCCTCCTGTTGCGGAGCACAGGCTCCGGACGCGCAGGCCCAGCAGCCATGGCTCACGGGCCCAGCCGCTCCGCGGCATGTGGGATCCTCCCGGACTGGGACACGAACCTGCGTCCCCTGCATCGACAGGCGGACTCTCAACCACTGCGCCACCAGGGAAGCCTGGGCTTTTAATTCTTATTGCTACCAGTTAGGATTCTCCTCCCTACATGGGAGATGTTCTTGCTTCTCATCCAGCTTCAGGGCCATTCAGAGATGGTGGTGATGCAGCAGCATAGATTGTCTCTCTTTTCTTTATTATCACCACTGAAGCTGAAGGTCACTATATATGCATTACTCCATCAGTCTCCCTTTTCATTCTCCCCAGGCAATTGCCCTGGATTGCCTCTGTAATAAAGTGTCTTGAAATACACAAATCTTTATTTCATGTCTTAGTCTTTTGGATAGGTTAAGACCCTCTATTGGATCTGGTAACAAAAAAGGGAATAGAGGTGACATATAAATGATAGGGTTTGTTTTAATAACTTTATCTTTTACAATTTGTTATTAATGATAAAAAATTAGGAAATATCCGTAAGGGCATGCTTATTCTTTAAGATCTAGTGAAACTGGGCATTTTAAGTCTGTTCCCCTAGGGACTTAGGAAAGAGAAACTAGGACTGGAAACGATAGGAAACAGTAGTAGGAAGCTAAGCAGCCCTAGCACAGTGGTTGTCAACCTTGGCCACCCCCCACACAGGGACTGCATGAGGATATTAAAAGCAATACTGATTCAGCTTTAATTGGTCAGGGCTCTGTCTTGCTTGGGCATTGGAACTTTTTGAACTTACGCACTTGAAATTTTTTTTTTTCTTTATTTTTTTGGCCGCATTGGGTCTTAGCTGCGGCATGCAGGGTCTTTAGATTCATTGTGCAGGCTTCTCTCTCGTTGTGGTGCTCGGGCTTCTCTCTGTAGTTGTGGTGTGCGGGTTTTCTCTCTCTAGTTGTGGCACGCGGGCTTTGTTTCCCTGTGGCATGTGGGATCTTAGTTCGCCGACGAGGGAGCCAACTGGCATCCCCTGCATTGAAAGACGGATTCTTTACCAATGGACCACCAGGGAAGTCCCCCTACATACTTGAATTTAATATGAAGTCAAGACTGAGAGCCACTGGCCTAGAGAAGAAAACTGGTCTACGACTGAGGAGAAAAGTGCTTAGGTTTCATAGCACCTCAATCCCAAATTCTCTTTGAGATAAATTGGAGCTTATTGTAAAATGCTGCTTTTTAAGACTTGTGATTATTTAGATTTCTGATTGGTGGAAAACAAAAAATACATGAGTGAATTTTTAGCATCTGGAAAGAAGAGACAGATTTACATAGTAATAAAACTTCATGGATTGACTTTACTTATTTAACATTGCACAGGTTGCCTGTGATTTGCTTCGGAGAATCATTCGCATCTTGTATCTCAGTAAGAGACTCCAGGGACAACTGCAGGGGGGAAGTAGAGAGATAACAAAAGCTGCTCAGAGTCTCAGTGAGCTTGGTAAGTCCTTTTGTTTATTGATTCACTGATTGAAGGAAATTTGGTTGTTTCAAGTTTTTGGTGATTATAAATTGAGCTTCTTTAACATTTGTATACAGGTCTTATGTGAACCTAAGTTTTCATTTCCCTAGGAGAAATGTCCAGGAGAAATGCTGTTTTTTAGGTGACAAGTCTCATGTTGGCATGGTGCCTAGAAGATCTGTTGAATTCATTTCTTCATTCGTCATTCTTTTCTTAAACATTTAGAGCAGCCTCTTGACATTCAAGGGTGTCAGCAGTCACAGCTTTGAGTACTGACAGGTTGCAAGGTCCATGATGAAGCAGTTCATAATTGTTCAGGCAAAATTTTGAATACCTACCAAGTGCTTAAAGAACTACCTACACCTGCATTTTAATGAGGCTTTGCGGTTTTCTTCGTTTCATTGGGTACCCAGTAATTTTTCTGAAGTGGATGTGTTTAGTGGAATTTGTACCTTTTTAGGTTCAGAAGGTCTTTGATTATATCCATCTCAAATATCAAGAGTCTCCTAATGCTTAGTAACGTGCTTTGAAAGTAGTTATGCCAAAAGAATATCAAAGATGTGCCATTACATGTTCTTTTTGACTTTTCCTATCTTTGATATTTCAATTACATAGTCATACTGTAATGCTTATTCCCTGTTTTGACTAAGGAAATGTAATATCCTTCACAAAGCATGCTTCAACAACATTTCAATTTATAATGCTCAAATACATTGCTTAGGCACATCGTGGGAATATATTGAACTTGTGATTTAGTGTGCTCAGAATATATTATATAAAAAGTTAATTTTGGGCTTCCCTGGTGGCGCAGTAGTTGAGAGTCCGCCTGCCGATGCAGAGGACAGGGGTTCGTGCCCCGGTCTGGGAGGATCCCACGTGCCGCGTGAGCCATGGCCGCTGGGCCTGCGCGTCCGGAGCCTGTGCTCCGCGGTGGGAGAGGCCACAACAGTGAGAGGCCCGCGTATCGCAAAAAAAAAAAAAGTTAATTTTAAAGCAGTGAGTAATGCTTCACTGTTTTTTCACAATATGTGCTAAATATAGAAGTGTAAAAATCTTAGTATCAGCTGTTATTTTTTGCTTTATCATATTTAATTTTTGTGCTCCAAAAAATAAACTCTTGAATAATAGAATCATTAAAAACAAACACAAATTATTCCAAGGTTTATTATGTATACTTGTCATCACTGATACTCTTCCATAATAAAAAGTTGCTACAGTTTGATTATCATCTCTCCTAGAAATAACAGATGCTGGATTGCAAATGGTGATATCTTCTTTTTTTAAAAAAGGCACAATTATTTTATTATTTATTTTAACATCTTTATTGGAGTATAATTGCCTTACAGTGTTGTGTTAGTTTCTGCTGTATAACAAAGTGAATCAACTATAGGTATATATATATCCCCATATCCCCTCCCTCTTGCGTCTCCCTCCTTATGCCACCCCTCTAGGTGGTCGCATAGCACCAAGCTGATCTCCCTGTGCCATGCAGATGCTTCCCATTAGCTATCTATTTTACATTTGGTAGTGTATATATATGTCAGTGCTACTCTCTTACTTCGTCCCAGCTTACCCTTCCCCCTCCCCGTGTCCTCAAGTCCGTTCTTTACATCTGCATCTTTATTCCTGTCCTGCCCCTAGGTTCTTCAGAACTTTTTTTTGTTTTTAGATTCCATATATATGTGTTAGCATACGGTGTTTGTTTTTCTCTTTCTGACTTACTTCACTCTGTATGACAGACTCTAGGTCCATCCACCTCACTACAAATAACTCAGTTTCATTTCTTAAAAAGGCACAATTATTAATCATAATGTTTTGTGTTGATACAATGCAGAGTATAAACTCATTATCCTTCCAATGAGGCTTTGGCTTTACCCAAAGTTTTATAAATGTTAAACGATGACAAGTTGTTGAGAAAGTATAGTAAATTATGGAGTTATCTCAAAATGGGTTGTGTTAATTTAAATTTTTAAAGCTTTGCAGATTATGTGCTGTTCAAAAATTTCAAAGGCATCATGTCTTCATCATTCACCACTGTGGTTCAGTCTTGGCCAGTCCTGGCATTGATAATAAGGAGAAGCCAAGAGGGAGATAAAGTTTCTACATTTGGAATTAATGTTTTAATAAAAGTAATAATTTGGTAATCATTATTACAGTTACACATGTACACTAAATGCTATTTCTATGATTGGAGCATCTCTGAAATTATCAGTGTCTATATCTGTATGGTTCTGGCTCTCATTAGAAAGAATAAAATGATGAAGAGTAGCAGGCCCCTGAGATTAACTGAAAACCAATCTCTCAAACTTGAAAGGTCTTGAGGCTTGAAATGTAGTGACCAGATGAAATACATTGTCATCTGAAAGTTAATTATATTCTGAGGGACTTGGAGGGGAGTGTCAGTGACTGCTAATGGATACCACTCTTTAGAGTGGTGAAAATGTTCTGCAGTTAAATACTGGTGATTGTTGCACAACCTTGTCAATATACAAAAAAGCCTCTGAATTGTATGCTTTAAAAGGTTGAATTTTATGCTTTGTGAATTATATATCACTTTAAAGTTATATATCAATTTAAAAAGTATATTCTGGTGCCTAGTGACGATTATGCTGGTACCTTTTCTTTTTTTTAAAATTGAGATCTAAGAAATATACAGTAAACTGCAACATATTGAAAATGTACAGTTTGGCAAGTTTTGACATGAAACCGTCACCAATATTAAGATACATAACTATCACCTGCTAAAAGTTTCCTTATGCCCCTTGGTAATCCCTCCTCAGGCATTTATGGATCTGCTTTCTGTTACTATAGATTGGTTGGCATTTTAATGAACTTTATGTAAATGGAATCATACAGTTTGTGTTTTTGTTTGGCTTCTTTCAGTCACCTTAATTATTTTGAGATTCATCTATGTTGTGTATATCAATAGCTCATTCCGTTTCATTGCTGAGTAGTTTTCCATTATATGCGTATCCCGCAGTTGGTTTATTCATTCACCTGTTGATTGATATTTGAGTTGTTCCTAGTTTTTGGCTATTACAAATCAAGCTGTTATGAACATTCATATACAGGTATTTTTATGGACATATGCTTTCATTTCTCTTTGATAAATATGTAGATACAGAATGGCCAGATCATATAGTAGATGCATGTTTAACTTTGAAAGAAATTGCCCAGGTGTTCTACCTGAAGTGTATGAAAACTGCACTTTTTCTGCATCCTTGTCAACCCTCGTTATAGTCAGTCATCTTAATTTTAGCCATTCTAATAAGTGTGTAGTAGTATCTTGCTTAGAGTTCACAAAAAAAGTTTGTAGAACTAATACTGGAGTTTAGCAAGATTTCAGGATATATGATCAATATACAAAAATTAGTTTTCTTTCTTTTTTTTTCTTTTTTTTTCTTTTTGGTTGTGCCGCGTGGCTTGCGGGAATCTTAGTTCCCCAACCAGGGATTGAACTCATGCCCCATGCAGTGGAAGTGTGGAGTCCTAACCACTGGACTGCCAGGGAATTCCCTTTATTTCTGTATAATATTAACAAGCAATTGGAAGTTGAAATTCAAAAATACCACTTATAATAGCATTGAAAATATGAACTACTTAGGGTTGAATTTGACAGAAGATACACAGTTGTATACTGACAACTAGAAAACATTGTTGAGGGCAATTAAAGAAGACCTAAATAAGTAAGTAAACATTGTCTGTGAATTGGAAGACTTTATAGTGTTTATTAATATGCCCATTTTCCCTAAATTGATATGTATAGATTTAGCACAGTTACAACCTGCATCCCAGCAGGCTTTTATTAAAATTGACAAACTGATTTTAAAATTCATATGGAAATGCAAAGGATCTAGCATAGCCAAAACTTAAAAAAAAAAACCCCAAAACAGGCACAGTTGGAGCATTAACCATACCTGATTTGAAGACCTGTTACAATGACTTATACTGATCAAGACAAAAAGATAGACAAATAGGTCAATGGAATGGAATAGAGAGCCCAGAAATAGACACACACATGTAAGAACAACGGATTTTTGACACATTTAGTGGAGAAAAGATAGTCTTTTCAACAGATGGTACTGGGAAAATTGGATATCCATATGTATAACAGTGAACTTGTATTTATACCTTACTTCATATAAGAAAAAAAGAAAACTGAAAATGGATCATAGTCCTAAATATAAAACCTAAAACTATAGAACTTCTTAAGGGAAACGTAGGAGAACATTTTTATGTCTCTGAATTAGAAAATGATTCCTTAGATATATAACCCAAAGCACAATTCTCCCCGCCACACACAAATTGGTAAATTAGACATTATCAAAATTTAAAACTTCTGTGAGTGATGCTGCTAGAAGAATGAAAAGACAAGCCATAGATAGAAAATGTTTGCAAAGTATATATTTGATAAAGGACTTGCTTCCAGAATATATAAAAAGCTTTCAACATTGATAAGAACACAAATAACCCAATTTAAAAATAGGCAAAAGATTTGAACAGACACTTCACCAAAGAATATACGTGAATGGCAAATATGCATATATGATACTCAGCATCATTAGGCATTAGGGAAGTAAAAATTAAAATCATACTGGTGTCTTACTGACAGAATAAGCAGAATTTTTTTAGTGCAGACTTACGTGTAATTTTTCATGCACATTATTATGTATGATTAAAAAATAAAACTGCATAGTACAGATTTCAGGATTAAATTATATCACATTGATTTATGGTTTTTCTTCAAGAAAAGTCTTGGCACTAGATGAAAATTTAGATGGGCCTTACTAAATTTGTAACATTTTTTGAGCATTAGTTAAGATGATACACTTAAATCACATTTAAGTTATACCATGGTTTATATATAGTGAATGTATTTTATGTTGTGTGGTGTGACAAAAAAAAAAGAAAGTATATCCTCCATTAATTTTTACTGTGTATGGTCCGTCCTCTGAGTTTTATAATTTTGTTGCTAAGCT